GAGAGAGAGAGAGAGAGAGAGAGAGAGAGAGAGAGAGAGAGAGAGAGAGAGAGAGAATATGTGGTGGAGCATGCCTTTTATCCCAGCACTTAAGAGACAGAGGCAGGTGGATCTCTGTGAGTTCGAGGCCAGCCTGGTCTACAGATCTAGTTCCAGGACATCCAGGGCTACACAGAGAAACCATGACTTGAAACACAAAACAGAACAAAACAAAAACAAACAAGAAAGAAGAAATACACTGTACATAGATGATTGAAGACCATCTATGAAGATGTTGTAACGGAACCCGCTGCTATGTAATTAACATACACTCATAAAACATTACGAGAGACCCTTGAGGGCATTAGAAGTTTCCTATACTGTGATCCAGATCTGTGTCTGTTTCCAGCAGCCCTCCCCAGTGCTCACCAGTATGCTGTGCTTTGCCCACACACCAGCGTTCACAGGACAGACACTGGCCCACTTATACACCTTTGCACTGTAGTAAAAGCTACTAAAGGGCACGTTTCAATACAACATACAAAAAACCACCAACAAATTCCTGGAGCTGAAGGAAGGCAGAGCTGGGAGTGGGAGCAAATGCCTGTGACCACTTGAGAGGGCAAGGCAGGCTGATCTGGAGTTCAGGGTCAGGTGAGGCTACACAGCGAGTTCCAGGCCATCTTGGGCAACATGGTTCCTGGCTCAAAACACCTAAACCAACCAACCAGCCAACCAACCGAAAAGTTCCAGTTCTGTCATTTCCTAGCTACATAAACTTTGGTTCCTTCTTTGTCTATAAAATGAGAGTAATTATAAACCCAATGCCTTCATTACTTTTAAATTCCTTCCCAGAGGCACCATGACCAGGCAACTCATAGGAGAGACTTTACTGGGGGCTTGCAGTTTCAGAGGGTGAGTGTATGACCATCATGACAGGGATGGCAGCAGGCAGGCTCTGCACAGGAGCATAGCTAACAACTCACATCCCATCCACAGGCATGAGGCAGACAGAGAGCTAGCTAACCGGGAACAGTGAGGCCTTCTGACACCTCAAAGCCCACCCCCAGTGACACATCTCCCTACCCTTCCCAAACAGTTCTACCCACTGGAGACAAAGCACCCAAATATATGAGTCTCTAGGGACTATACTCATTCAAACGACCACACCCACTTCTGAATGCTGTTGATAAAGCTGTGAGCAAAAGGACAAAACTAAACAATGACAAAACTCCTGTGCACCCTTGGTGCCTCCTACATGGAGTTTATAC